TTAAAAAGAATAAAACTGATGTGAGAGTTCTCAACCGATACACCCATTGTCTGCTTTACAATTCAGCTGACCGAAAAATTGTCCGCTTATTAATTCAAATTAAAATTTCTTCCACTTTGCATAGCGACGAGCATTACTTAGAAACTTATTGGCGTGCTGCTGATCATTTGTAGATGTTACAAAAAGTCGCGTTAATTGAGTACACTTTCATACGGCGGCGAGGTCTCCTAGTTATTTTTGCAATAATTGAACCTTGTCGGTATGAATGTTCCATGTTCATAACGTTTATTATAAGCTATAGAATATTTGTGTTCAATTCGTCATATTGAATTTGTTGAGTTCAGTTTGGAACACCCTATACATCTGATCTATTTTAAAGGGCAGCCTACATAGACTGCAAGATTATTATCAAAGAAACTAAGTGAGATCTAGCTTAACGAGTAAAATGAAATACATATGTACCTTACGTAACGACATATGCCTATTGCTTGGTACTTCTCAGTATACTTTAAATATTCTACAATTCCTTTAGCAGTGCGCAAAACAGAGTTTCTTCCCCAAATCTATACAAATTAATTGATTTTATTGGTAAGCATTTCTATCGACAAAATCATTTGAGTTTGCATTTTATTTACCTTTCTCTTGACACAAACAACGATTAACTCCGTCAATGCATAAACAAAATAACTATTGGATTTAAGTCGAAAAGCCGTTTAAGTGGAAGAAATTCAAAACAAAAGGTTATATACGTGACCACTACGTGTTCGTTATCGCTGTCAACATATATATATATATATATATAGGTATATATGCAAGGCTGAACAATTATTGTTTAGAAAATTTTCATTATCTTGCAAGAAATTTTTCCCAAATCTCTTACAAGTCATTGTTTACCGTCATTCTATTTAGAAACACTTCAACACCCGAACGCGATTTACAATTTTGAAATCTCTTTTGTTTTGTTTTGTTTTTTTTTCTTTTTTGATTTAATTTGTTTATTCATTTATTCGCTTTATTGATAACATAATAATTGCACAATTCCACCCACAGACATTTACGTAAACTTGTCATACTTTCAACTGTTTACCGTTTGCAAACGATAAGTAACTCAAGTAACACTAGTGTGCTTTCTTCTTAATACTGGCAATGTTTTCTAAAACCTTCGAAGCTGAACTTCAGTCATTTATTTATTGCATGGCTTTGTCAAATGGAAAGAGAGAAATTTGAGTAATGACATAAAATAGACAAACGAAAAAAAAAAAAAAAAAAGACATAAGTAAATAAAAAAAAAAAAAAAATGAAAAAAAATAAAAACCATAGCAGTGTTTAAGTGTTGGAATAACAGGTGTTTACATTTGTAGTTGTAGTGGAATGTAGCGCTGTTTTTGTTGTTATTGTTGCTTCGTCGTTGTATACATTTTGCATTGTATTGTTAATTAAGAACGTGTACATTGTAAAGAGAAGAAGGAAAGAAAAAGAAACACTGTGTGTATGCATTAATGATTAACAGCTTATATATAAGTATGGGCGCATACGTACATGTGTGCATGTAGTGCCTGGGTCATTATGGGTCATGGTACGGGAAAATAAGTAAAATTTCTCAGCAAAAAAAGAAAAGAAAAGAGCAGAACTATCTTTCAGCAATAAAACCAAGAAAGAAGAAGCAAAAACACTTTGTCGTAAATATTTCGGTCAAAACAGAAAACCTTCTTACCTTGCATTCTCCTGCATTGCAGTAATTTCAGTTCATTTTGCAAATAATTCTCATCAATTTCTTCTATTTTTTATGTTATTATTTTTTTGACTATGCACCGATAAGTCATTAATGCTCTTAAGAATGGTTAAAAAATGTTTGTTTTTTTTTTTTTTTCAAAACATCCGAAAAATGTTTCTTTAATTTGATACTCAGATTCCCATTGTTATCAACTTGGATCTCTGGAAATTTCACTTAACTAAACTATATATATATACACATATATGAGTTACGTCTCGTATCGATCAGAGAAAACCTCGCATAAGATTCTGTTCATTGCTTTCATTGATTAGATTTCAAGATAACTCAAGAGGTTCAGTACTTTATTCCATATTGTGCAGGGTGTTTGTCAGCAGAATTGAATGAACGCGAATTTCGGCGCCTTTGTTAGTAGGGAGTTTCTTAACTTCGGAAATAGCGCATTCGTTATAACAATAAAACAATTGACTGATGAAATGTGAAAATATTTTATCAAAATTAAATCTTAAACAAAGGCAAACATTTAATAGGAACAACGTGCTATCGGCATTCATTTTCCATTTAAAGAAAAAATGTTCTAAAGACGGACCAGTTTCGGGTGCATGCCGTCTTATACGAGAAGATTAATTGAAGGCAATCTCGATGCATTCCGCATAATTTATTGCCATAAACAAAATATTCAGCAGATATATTAGCATACCTGTGCCGAACGGACGAATAACAAACACGTTTTGCTTTTTGGCTTAGAAATTTCCCGTTGAAGATCATTGACAAGGTTTGTGCATGCATCAAGGGGATATTACAACTTGTTCGTCGCGATACGATACGTTGTACATCAAATTTAATAAAACGTTACAGCCTCTGTGCATCGATAGTATCATCGTTGGTATATAAGCCCTTATTACTGTACATCTGAAAATTGTTTATTCCTTCATTCATTTCTGGTCTGGTTCTATAATGTACACTGATTTCTGCTGTACAGCAATAAACTGGATCTTAAGTCTTGATTCGACTCTTTATCTATCATTAATATTACAAACGTGACATGTTTGCAAAATGTCGATTGTTTAAAGTTGCGGTTGTGTGTGCAATCTAAGTGATCGTAGAATGACTGCCGAGTGAAGACTCAATTAGATTGACATTAGTAGTGCCTCGTAGAGTGAGAATTATTTTAATTCTCTTTACTATAACGAGAAAAGGACCCACGTGACATGGCATGGCATGACACATATCTTCAAAAAGCTTTATGTAAGCACTTATGACATCCTATTAATTGGATAGTTTATGTTTTTTTTTTCTAATCTAAATAGTTGCACAATAGTGTAACTATAGTGTAACAATAGTGTAACTATAGTGTAACTATAGTGTAACTATTGTGCAACTATCCAAATTTTTCAGATAATACTTTTTTCTTTTTGTTTTCATTGGTTTAACTGGTCTCTTAAGTTGTCAAAAAAAGTGATAGGGGGTGTGGTCAAATCTTGAACGGTTCAAAAAGTCGATACTCCCAGCATTACTACACAACTAGCAGTAGTACGAATACTTGAAACGTAGATTAGATACGTTTTTATCGAAACATGATTTTTAAAGCGAGCCAGATGTCTCCAGCAATTTTCATAGCTTGGAAGTAACGTTCTAAGGCGAAGTGGCTTTGGTTTTTTTTTTTTTTTTTTTTTTTTTTTTTTTTTTTTTTTTTTTTTTTTGTTAAAAACTGAAATCCTTCATCCATATATGTGCTAGCAAAAGACAAATCAATATTTTTGATATTTGTAGGGATGTAAACTAAAGTGATATTTTTTCTTTTTTCTTGTTTCTTCCCACCCTCGAACGATAAGAGTACCCGTCTTCTTAAGTCTTTGGCAGCATTCAGAAGGTAGCTTCCCCGACTTTATTAAGTACATTCTTGCTTACCATCATCATTGATCTTATGATCAGCTTTAGTATATATGAAATGTTTGTGATTTCAGTTTAAAATTCTAAACCTGATCGAACATCGCCTTCTTCGTCCTTCTTCGTGTAATGCGGGTGATGACTATTTCCCTTATCCCACAAATCAATTTGACAAATAAGAGGCAGATATTCAGGACGACCGAAATCTATCAAAGGATATGCTTGCAGTACAATATGAATTAAGAATGCTGCCGCTTTCGAAAGCAAGAAAAGCTTTATTTTTCCCCATCTTTCCATGTATATTTTATGGCCTGTGCCTTCATGCGCCTGTGTAAAAACGACAAAGTCGATTCGATAGAGTATCGATGCATATTTATTTATTGTTTTTTGATATTTTTCATAGTGGGCATAGAAAATGCGCTTGAATAGAACTTTTTTTTTCTCTTGGTTTAGACACAAATTTGCATCAGTTACACTACGTGCTGCAAATCTCCTTTGCCCTTTCATTTAAAAATACTTGACACATATGCTTCCGGTATTGTCGTACATATAATATTTCTCATATATAATTTTTTTTTTTTTTCTTTGTTAATACTTATTTAATGCGTAATAACCCTATCGGATATTATTACTCTGTTACATCGTCCCTGCCAATCCAAGAATATGATGAAAAATGCATTTTATTCAAGTTTCTCAATTGACGTCATGGCTTAATGTGGAAAGTTGTTTGAGTTTAACTCCATCTCGTTAGGGCGAAGTTTGTATCATCTTGGTTCGCTTTAGCTTTTTAGAAAATTTATTAAAAGAAAAAAAATATTCTTAATTAAATGAAAAAATAATTTTTCAAAATTTAGAGACGCATAAAACATAATATTTGAAATATCACTCAAGGTACTATTGCCGCCAATCGTATAGATTGGGAATTTCACTTAGTAGGGACTGGTAAAAATTGCAAGTCTTTCTGTAGTAAGTTTTAAAAGATAAACGTGCGAGAGGAACATTTTCTTTGGACGACTACTGTAAATGAGTAACCTAGAGCAAGAGTGCGAGCATACGTAGGCTATGCGACTTGACGCGACGCGACGCAGCGACAATCTAGCGCCAATGATAACGCAAAAGCCGAACAAAAATTACAAGAAAAAAAAAACAACAAAAACAATGAATAAAAGAAATAAATTCAATATCAATGCAAAAGTTCTACGTAAGAAAAAGAAAAAAAATTTGTGGGGTTTTAAAAAACCCAAACCCAAATTCGTTTTTTTTTAAAAAACTAAAAAAGAAAAAAAAAAAAAAAAAAAAACGAACGAAGAAAAGGAAAAATAAATAAAAAGAAAATTTGTAATAAAAATAAAAACATTGGCCATAGAGCACATGGAAGAAAAAAAGGCAGTAATTGTAAGACAACAGACAAAAACACAACTCAAAACGCAGCACAAACAAATCTGAATATAATGCAAACTATAAGAGAATCGCAACGAACCAAATGAATCGAACAAATAGATGGATTGTGTATGCACCGTAATGAATGGCAGTTCAGCACAGCACTGCTAGTAAACAGTTGTAATACATGGTATTGAGTGTTAGGACTTTTTGTGAGCGGCGCACAAAAAACGTTCAAATTTTTGTTATTGTTTTGCTGTTTTGCTGTTTTGCTGGTGCTGTTGCTGTTGCTGCTGCTGTTGCGGCCGTTGTTGCATTTGTTTGTTGTTATTGTTGTTATTGTTATTCCTAGTGGTTTTTATCGTTTGATGAAGCACAACGCAACAGATTCTCACTGAAAACAAGTCACAAACCGCTACGACAAATGATCAGCACAGATCAACCACAACGCACACCACAACACCCAGCCAGTAGAACAACAGTTATATGGAAGAGAGGAGGGCAGAAAAAACAAAAAATCCCAAAGCACCACAACAGCGTTTACTGAATTTAAAAACGACATTTGCGCCAGACAACAAAATTAGATGAAACTAAACAGTCAACCAATGAGGATATCGAGCAAGCGGGCTAGCGAGCGTTCGTCATGTCATGAACGTGCAAACGGAAATCAAAAGTGATCGTTACAAAAATTTCAAATCGATGAAAAGTGAGGGTGAATAAAATTACTGGAGTTTTATCTATCATATGTTTTTCTTTTTTTTTTGTTTTATTTTCTTACATTTGTATATATATATATATATATACATGTATGTGCGTGTGCGCGCGTTCTTTTCTTCTTTCAATGGGAAGAGCGTAGAAGTTGTTAAACAAAATGCGTAGTTTTCAACGCGGCTTCTTTTGTGGTGATCTAACGCTACGTTATCCTTATCATACTGACACTATATCAGTTCCTATGCTGTTGTTATGCATGCTTATGCTGCCGTTCCTTTTCATAGCCGTGATCGAAGTGATACGTTTGTGTCATAATTTTCGAGTGCGTTTGTATGCGCGTAACATCAGCCATAGTTTGGGTTGCTTTAGTTTCGGTTTCATAGCCACCTATCTGAGCACTGAGTTAGCGAAGAATGTAATTCATCGCCTGCGGCCGCATTTCTATGCTGCTTGTCAGCCACGTATGCCCGATGGCTCCACATGTGAGGATTACAAAAATCGCATTCTATACGTTGAACAATATTATTGCTCCAATCGTAATCTATCCACACGTCAGCTACGTGAATTGTATGTCTCCTTTCCCAGTGCACATTCGAGTTTGTCATTCTATGCCATGTTATTTTTGGCCTTTTACCTGCATGCCGTTTGGCGCCAGGGACGTGGTGTATGTCGTGTCTTACGTCACATGTTGCAATTTCTTATGGTCTCGTTAGCCTGGTTTATAACGTTGAGTCGCGTAGCCGATTATTGGCATCATTGGTCGGATGTGTTGGCGGGCGCTGTAATGGGTATCATATATGCCAGCCTGAGTGCCTTATATGTGGGTCGTTTATACTGGCATGCAAACTTCACAAGCAGCAATAGTCAAACCTCGAAAACGCGTAAAAATCTATTCAAACGTACTTTGCAACATGTTGCTACGTCAACGGCAAACTGCTCTACACCGCAACTGCAGCATCAAGTCTTAGCTCAGTCAACTGCTGGAAATGCACAAGCCAAAGAGCATCTTATGTCTAGCTCGAACGACTGCATCGAATGGAAATCACAAGCCATCTTACCTACATAACATAAATATTAACAATTGCGATGGTAATGGCTGGAGTCAGTCTCGCCTGACTTGACTGCCTCAACACATGATCCATAATAAATAACATAAAAAGGGAAGAAATAATTTACATAATTTATCTCTCTTGTGTCTATTTATAAACTTGCATCAAACGCCTAAACCCACCCGTGTAAAGATGAGGCAATGTGTAATAAGTATTTCTGTATGTGTGTGTGTGTGTGTGTGTGCGTGTGTGTGTGTGTTATGTGTATGTGTGTATGCGTGTGTGTATGTACATGTATTTGTTTATATGAATATTTATGTATGCACGTGTGTGCACATATTCACTAAAAGCGCGTATCATTTCGCTATAACGTAACTTTTAACAGACAATACAATTATTTTGTAATTGAGTATTTATTATTTTACGTATTTATTGGAATGTGATAAGGATTGTGTATGCATGCGTCCATGTATTTATATATATATATGTATATATATATATATTGTATGAGTGCGGAAAATTATCAAATATATCGTTAACTTTACGCCGCGCTAGCCCTTGTGAGACAAGTCCGCGTACAAATTTACTTACTTATTGTACTCACTTAAAAACATATACACGATCTGTTCTTGTGTTTTTACTTTTCATTTTTGCTATTCAAGTGCTTACGAAAACTTTATAATTCCCATAAATTCCCCGATATTGAGAGCGATAATGTGTGCAAGGAAAAAATCAATATTGTAAATTAAGCCAAATTTATTGATGGCGATTTGTTAACACTATATGTGGTCTCTACTGTTCAAGTCGCTGAAATGAAATAGTTATTGGACAACGGTTACGATGCATTGTGCTCTGCTCTGTTGTGCTGTGTTGTTTTGTATACACCTTTATATCCCACGACTATAAGCTACGGGTATACTAACTTTCTTGTTCGGTATGCGATTCGTAGAAATATATATATCACGAACGCTATGTATGTACATGAGAAAAGAAGACTTAACGTTGATTTTACGACATCTTTTTTCTTCGCCACTCTGTTAGATACACCTTCACTGCAAGCATTGCCTATGCATTAATTTGTGAGGAAATTTGTGTAAATGCTTTAAAAGAACAGAAAAATTGCGAAATAATGAGCAATTTGTCGAAATCATTGATTGATTGCTTAAGTAAGCCATAGGATGACCGTCGATTCTTCATTAATAGCGAGCTATTACTTGATAAATATTAGATATAGATATCGCATAATAAACAAATATTCGACTGAATCATCGATTAGATCGATTTCATTGGCGATCAAAATTCATTCTGATTTTTTGGACATAAAAATAAAAGCCCCATTAAATTAATTTCTCAATTAGAGAGGCTTTAGTGATAGATAAGCTTGCAGGTCGAAGCATTTCTTCGAAATGAAAATCTATGCAAAGCAATCCTTTAATAAATTTACAAAAATTTAATTAATCCTTACTGTGCCTAAATCTGATCTGTGTAAATATAGTGATTCATGTTTTCTTCCGAGTTTTCCACATGGTTTCATCTCTTTTTTTATGTAACTATCTTACATTTACTTACGGTAAACATCGGCTTAGATAGTCGACACTATATATGTTTGATGCATAATCGAGCAGAAAGCCTAACACGCACTGATACGAATAAGATGGAATCCGGATACAAAATGATGCATAGATTCGTAGGATATTTTTTTTTCCCCCGAAACTCAACTTCACTACGAAAAAATATTAAAGATTGTTAAGCTGCAACAATATGTTTCGAATATTTTTTTTTGCTATCTTTTCGTACCTAAATAATATATATATATATATATCTATATATGCGATAATTTATAGAAATGAAATCATCCCAATGACATATGTCGTTAAATAGAAAAAAACTTGAATGGCTTTCTGTACGTGTTGAGTGTATAAGATTCGTCTTAAAATGAATATAGTTTTTTTTTTTTTTTTATAGTTGTTATATCTTAAGTCGTTGCTTTTAATTTATACAAAAATATGTTATATAAATAAATTTCGAAAATCTAAGCTTGACTGAAGAATTATCTGGAATATATAGGAGGTCTACAGTTTAATACACAAAAAATGAATAAATATATTTATATACATTTAAATATATATGCATAAGAAAATAACTGTGCGTGAAGTCTCGGATACGAAATTATAAAGGAAATAAGTGGTGATATGATTGAACAGAGATCTTATTCGAAAATATATTACTTTTTACTTTAACTTTGTTTCGACCTGAAACATTGCATACAAAATATGTTGCTCGTATATGTCAACTAACATGCATAGTTGGTGTGTTCTTTCTTGCTCAGCCTATTCATTAATGAAACAGTCTGAACTGGAAAGAGTTTGAGCGTAAGAAATTTCACTCGAGTTCACGGGCGCAGTACAAACGTGATTAGATGCAATTAGATTATGTTAGTAACTTGTGGTGTATTGGGTGCGGAAATAGATTTGCAAAGAATCCTTTTTAGCTTTGATAAACTTTAAAAAAAATTCTTTTTCTTGTTTTTTTTTTTTTTAGACCATTCTGTCCAGCGAAGCTACTTTAAAACGCAGTTAACTTAAACGCTCGTAGCTTAATAACTTAGTCAAGCTTAAAACTTACTGAAATGTTCATTCTTTGCATTGCGTAAAGCCAAGGTCTTTAGCTACATTAGTTCTCCAAAAAATGAAGATTTTCTTTATCCAAATAGTAATGTTAGCAAGCGTTTGTAACCACACGGTTTTTTGCGTTTTTAACAAGTATCGAGTATCAAAAGATTCGCTTATATTTCGCGAAGCAGTTGATTGATTGACGGTGAGGTTGGATTCGAATATCTGTAATGAGCAAAAACCGCAGAAGGCATACGATTTCAGTCTCCACAATACTAATAAACGCTACGATATACGAATACATTATATATAAGATGAACTGATCCACAAAAAAAAAAAAAAAGAAAAGAAAAATCATTTAAAGACCTTCAATAGAGGAAAGCGAATTTTTCATATTTAATTTATTTAATATACTTATTTTAAGAATAATTTTCATCAGTTATAGCTATTGTGTGAAGTTTTGAAAGAAAAGGTTCTATTAACACTTTTAACTAAATTGAAACCTTTTTTTTTTTTTTATTAAACTCAGCAGTATTTTCGCTTACATTCGGCTAGTTACTTTTTTTTCGCAACAGATATATATATATATATATATATATATATAGATTTATTTAAGGCAATGATTATTCAAGATTCCATTTAATCATGATTATAGTTTTTCAACTTTAATTTATTTAATAAATATTACTTAGCTAAGCTAATTTTTGCAATTTTTAAATTAATATCATATTTAGCAATAAACATAACAATAGCAATAACAAACATTTGTACACGTTTATGAAATAAATAGAATGGTATGAAATATTTATTAGAATATTAAAAAGAGAAATAAAAAAGATAAATGTACTAAAAGTCAATAAACTAATATAAGAATCTGTTTATATTGCAAGAATTCTTCGATAAAGAATTTCTTAAGAGATTTTTCCGGCTCTTTCTTTCAACCAACGTCAACAGCCAGCAGAGAGAGTATATTAAATTTCTTAAATATATGTAAAGCGGATATGCGTATCTGAAATTACATCACATACACATAGGTTGGATTACTTTACCATATATATATAGACCAAATTCAAGATGATTTAATATTTATATGTCTGTCTGTATTATGATGTTATAAAGACAACTGTATAATGTCTTGCCTAGAGACAACTATAAAAATGTGCCTTCAAATTCCCTTCTATCGTACACTTTCTATTTACGTTGATTTCAAAAATTATGCAAATTGATTTATGAGTCTTCTCGAAGTTAACAAAGCAAGCTTAAGTTTTTTTAAACTATAATTTCTAAATTTAGCCAGCCAAAATTTGCCCATAAGCTAGGAACTTATGAGTTTTGGACTCTCATTGTTGTTTATTAAAGACCATAAGTAAGCGTCAAGTTCAAGTGTCAATCCCAGTAATGGGCTAACAAGCCTTTGGATAGCCTTTGCTTTGCTACATCTACGTATAAATAAAGCCACGAGCCGTATTTTCACAATGTCATCGCTCACCAGTCACAACAAAAATAATCTTCCATTTCCTCTCTCTCTTTCTTTCTCTCTCTCTTTCTTTCTCTCTCTCTTTCTTTCTCTCTCTCTTTCTATCTCTCTCTCTAACTTTCTCTCTCTTTCTTTCTTTCTCTTTCTCTCTCTCTCTCTCTCTCTCTCTCTCTCTCTCTCTCTCTCTCTGTCTCTCTCTCTCTCTGTCTCTCTCTCTCTCCTGCGTCATAATGACTACATATTAGGCTTTACCACGTTTCATGATAACTCTTTTATAGGGTGAGATCTAAAATATAGGCATATGTGGTCCAAACTCTTCACGATTAAGTTTCGTGCTAAATTGCTACTGTGAACCAATTTTCATCGTAAAATATTAAAAATTATAGCCCTCTTGTATCTAAGGGTTAAATATTTCATGACGATGCTTGTATGCGGCGATAATTAAAAAAATAGACCTACGTGATTCAAATTTGATACAGATAAGTTTTATATCAAATATTGTTCTTCGAAATAGTTCTCATCATAAAATATCCTAAATTTAACGTTTTTGTTATATAGGGGATCTATAAAATAAGCCTTCGTAGTCCGGATTCGTTAATATTTATGTCAAATTATTATTATGAACGAATTTTCATCAAGAAATATTAAAAATTAGGCCTTTTTACCATATAAAGCTTCAGTTTTCCTAAAAATGGTTATTCGGCAATGGATTCAAAAAATCGCCACATCCAAGCCAAAGTTTTCACACAAACTTGGGAATACCGAAATATTTTCACGATTTTTGTCTCGAAAATCCAAAAAATTATAACATGTTTACTTGTAATGACCTATAAAAATAAAGCGTTAAATGAAGATTGGGTGAGAATGTGATTCGATTCCAACCGGTTTCAATAACGTATAAGCCAAAAAACACCAATATATCAAATCCCATCCAAATGTCTCGAAAATTGTAACCCGTATTTTAAACATAAACAAACAGGACGGATAGACAAGGTTAAATCGATTCTGAATCGATTGATAGGACAAAAAGCGGGTCTAGCTTAAGCCCTCCTGGGTGTTACATTCGTTCGCTCCAACTTAACATACTCTGTACCCCAAGTTATGTAGACTGTAAAAATGCCCTTTTATTTGTAACATATCTGTAATGTCTTGTGAATGGCTACGTTACGTTTTTTAGCTTGAACAGAAATTTACAAGGTGTTGCATGCCGTCTTCATTACAAAACTTGTGTCATGCGATTTTAAATATCCCATCATATTGTATATAATAGTAACAATGCATTAATTAGTACATATGCGCATGAGTAGCTGAATAGGTACGAACCAGAACCAGCGCGTCAGTATTCGCGAGTTCAAATCTCAAGTGGGGTAGATTATGCTTTGGTTGTAACTATAGTGAGCGCTCAGTCGATAAAGGCATAACGGTTACCGATTGGGCGCACACCCACTAAGCTGCAGCCAACTTCCTATCTCTTTCTTCTTCGTTATTCTCTTCTGGCCGCCACCACTTTAGCTCTGGTAAGCAAAAATTCGACCGATTACGTACACTTGTTGCTGATCAGCATGGAACTACCATACAATGAATCAATGCTTCAATAATTCTCGCTGCTAAATACGAAAACTCCTTCTTTTTTTTTTCTCTCTCCTCCAAGAATGACATATATTTTGATGTGAAATATTTTTTTTTTTATACCTTTTCTAAGAGAAGGATTTTTTAAGGCCGTCAAAATGTGCTTAAGTTTTTTCAGTGGCATCATCATTCGCTCCATATCCTTTTTCCTTGGCATTCCATTAGCATTTGCTAAAGGCTGCATTAGAACATTGCGGTTGCTGGGCGTCGCAATCTTACTCAGGTAAATTTACGATTTCCGATTATCGAGAGTAATCGTTAGAATTTTTGGATATATTCTGATTATAACCACTTACTTCTTCCGAGCGTTCACTACGTCCAGGATCATCGTTGCCCGTTCAAGCAAAACTCAATGCGTAACCATCAAATGATATTCAGGTTTTTGCACTGTTTCGAAAGAAGCGAAAGAAGGGTTAGCGAAGCCGCTGTAACAAGTAAATAACATGAAATTTTTATGAACGTCATTAGCACGTTAAGATCCTGGCTAAATGTAATGTGGAATTTTTGTTGCAGATGACTTCTTTGCGTTAGTTCCGAGAATTATTGACCGACGTGTCTGCGACCGATGTTAATGCAGAACAGCTCTTCAATAATTGTAAAATAAGTAAAATCCTTCGAATGAAAATAATATTGAAAGAGGAGAGAGGAGTACTATTACATGTCATATTGTAATACCAATCGAGTAAATTGTACAATTATTTTTATAAATTGAATAAAGACAATGTTTTTTTTTTTTTTTTCTTTATATATTTATTTTATTTCTTTCAATTTATTAAATCATTCATTTTATTGATGTAAATGCAATTTCTGTCCTCTTTTTATTTTTTATTTATTTATTTATTTATTTTTTTTTTTTTGATAATCAATTTTCGAAAAAGATTATTATATATTTATTTATTTGCTTTCATTATAAATGAAGAGCATATAAAAAATGTCTATTATGAAAGAAAATAACCGTATAATCCTTTTTAAAGCAAAAGAGTTGACAATTTCATATTATTTGTCGATTCACTTGAATTACAAGCAATTCGTGTGCCAAAGTGTATGTTTTTATTTATTTTCCATAAGGATATGAATGTGAATATGAATGGTAGGAAGATCCTTAAAAGATGCACTAAAACTTTATCCCCTCTACGTAACTAAGCAGAAGAAGGCGAATTTCACTTACTTACATATAACTATTTTAAGTATCAATCTAATGTCGTTTGCGAGAGTTACTCTTTTTGAAACGAAAAACAGAAGAAAAAAAATTGTGTATCAATGATTAACTTTTTCCCCCTTCATCTCCCTCTTCCCGGTACTTTATCTTTTCAATGCAAAAATTAAAAAAAAAAAAAAAAAAAGAGAAAGAGAAAGAGAAAGAAAAAGAAAAAGAAAAAGAAAAAGAAAAAAAGAAGAAGAAGAAAAAGAATATTCTAAAAACATTTTTATTTTTTTAACAATGAATGCACCTGAATGAATGCGAAAGCGTATACACGCAACAAAACTGTAGTTGAAAAGGAAAAAGAAAAATAAAGAAAATATTGAACAAAAAAGAGATTTGTTACATATATATATGTATATATATATATATATATGGGGAAGACATAGAAACAAATTTGTTCAATAAAACGTATCATCGGTAACTCATCAACTTGCACCCAAGGATATATGCGTCAATGTTTGCGCGTATGTATGTCCCTGTTTATATATTACAAGTATCTAAAGCTATATTTCTACATACATTGGACTGCATTGTAATTTCTCGTATTTTGTGTGCAAACGTGCATGCATTTGTTAGGATT